AAGAGCGTCAGTGGCTTTCTAATGTGAGTTGTTCCTCTTTCCCATCTTCAGTCCTCCAGTCTGCCTCCTATACGTGTATTCAACATAAAAATTGGTACAAAATACTGTCTGATTTCTGCCCTTTCTCTCTTTGGGGTTTGAGTCTTTTATGATTTGTTCTCCTGCCCTCATTTTTATTATAAACTTTTTTCCAACATGTACAAGAGCTGGAAGACTTTCAGAGTAAACACCCACATGTTTACCACCTAGGTTTCATGGTTACTGTTTCGCTTTATTTGCTTCATCGTTATCTGTCCACCAGCCTATCAACTCATCCTGCTGTCCACCCATCTTGTTTTCTTGGATGCACAACAGAGTTGCAGATTCATGATGACATGATGATGCCTTATCCCTTGACGCTTAGTCTTTTTCCTTTTAATTCTGGATTTTTTAAAAACTGTTTTTTAACCTCGTATAAGGTTGCCTTAACTGATCACCCTGCTTACCCAAACTTGGACATTTTTACCCGTTAACAATCATGAACTCCGTGTATTTGTCCACATTACATAAACCCCAGTGCCCACACTTTCTTAATCTCACTCTTTAATTTTCTCTCTATTACTTCCTCTCTTATCTCTTCACTCACCACAACTTTTCATTTGCTTTCCCTTCTCTCTTTCAGCTCCCAGCAGATAATTTTTAAACTAAACAACAGCTGAACAATATCCCCACTGTTCTGTGTGTCTGAGTATGCACAGCACGTCCACACTTGCCCAGGACAGAAGGAAAACACAATTTCTTCAATTTTATTTCTTTGCATCAAAATGATTAAATCTGTCTACATGACCTTCATACATCAGACCATTTGGCTATTTTAAAAGTCTATTTAATAGAGTAAGTCAAACCGCATTCCCTTCATAGAAGGAATCTTTACCACCAAACGGTACAGTGAATGCTAAGGGAACAATGTATCTTTTGTAAGGAGAGAGAGAGAGAGAGAGAGAGAGAGAGAGAGACATTGCCATCCTACAACTGCAGGATTATTTAAATTATTAGACAGCAATTCATGCTAGATACATATTTGCATTGTTGTATGAGTATTTTCTTATTTTGGTTGAAGACAGCTTTTCAAGGGGAATCTTACTCTTGCAATGCAGACTTAGAAGACCCCATTACATGGTCTAGTACATTTAATTTTATTACCATGGCTAGCAGTGTTTCAATTTTTTAATAAAAGGCTATCAGCAGTGAGGTAAAAGACTGCATCTCCAGCAACTCAGGCACCAGTATTTTATTTACTAACAGTTATAATAAAGCTTTCAGTGAAAAATCTTAAGTGGCACTTTCCTTTTTGGTGAGAATCAATTTTACAACAATCTTTTTTAACCTTATTTAAGCTTATAAAGCTAATTTTGCTATTTCAAAGTGAAGGGGGAAAAAGACAAAAAGAAGAAGAAAATATTTCCCCTAATAAATAAGACATTGGGGAAGAAAGTGAAGAGAAATTGTCCACAATTTATTAGCAATGCCTACTCATAAATGTCAGAATTCCTGTGCATGAGTTCCTTCTTGCTTTTTTGCTTGAGAGTTGAATGGTGAGGTCATTCATTCACTTACTCACCACTCATTGATCACCTACTGGTTGCCAGGCACGCAAGCACTGGCAACGTAAAGCAAAAGAAGACACATCCCCTGTCCTCAGAGAATTTATAGTTTGATAGAGGAAATGGGCATGTGGGCTGGCAGTTAGGTTACAGTTACACCTGAGGTGCTATGACAGAGGGACACACAGAACTGGCGGTGGTGGGAGGCACTTACTCTAAACTGAAGAGGGTAAGAATGCTCAGAAAGGCTTCCAAGAGGCATCTTTTTTTTTTTTAATTAATTTATTTTATTTTTGCCTGTGTTGTGTCTTGGTTGCTGCGAGTGGGCTTTCTCTAGCTGCAGAGGGCGGGCTTCTCACTGCAGTGGCTTCTCTTGTTGCAGAGCACAGGTCCTAGGCATGCGGGCTTCAGTAGTTGTGGTGCGCAGTCTCTAGAGCACAGGCTCAGTAGTTGTAGTGCACGGGCTTTGTTGTTCCATGGCATGTGGGATCTTCCTGGGCCAGGGCTCGAACCTGTGTACCCTGCATTGGCAGGCAGATTCTTAACCACTGGGCCACCAGGGAAGCCCCCAGGAGGCATCTTGAAAGGCAAATGGAGTTAGCCAATGGGAGAAGAAAGGAATAGTAACTAAAACTCTTACTGTTGCAAGCAATAAACAACACAAACTGGCTGAGTAAAAAAAGGAAATATATTGGCTCATGGACCTGAAAGGTTCAGGGGATTTTGGCTTCAGGCATAGCTGGATCCAGGGTCTAGCACAGTGTCGTTAGGAATCTGCCATTGGTGGTCTACTCTTCTTCCTTAGTAATAGAACCCCAAATTTGTTCACTCTCGTTGGAGTTGTTGTGTACTTCAGGAGTCACTGGGCTTAACTAATTATGATCCAATTTCCAAAGAAGGTCACTTTCTGAAGTGTGGGAGAATATGAATTTGGGGCAAAGGGGCCGGGAGGAGACATAGCTCAACCCATTATACCCTGCCTTTCTCTCTTCCCTCTCTCGGATCTCCTGCTGGTACCTCCCAGTGGCTGGACCCAACAACAGAGTAAATGAGCCTGGTTGATAAGAACCATAAAATCAGCCTCCTAAGGCACAGAGTGTGGCAGAAAAGGGTACACCTGGAGGGGCAAAGAGAATTTCCAGCAGAGTCTGTCTTGCCTTCATTCCTGGGAAGGGTCTCTTCACATGGTAACTAACCAACGACTGGTTCTTAGCCCCTGCTATTTTAACAATATTTATTTATTTATTTAGCTGCCTTGGGTCTTCGTTGCTGCTCATGGGCTTTCTCTAGTTGCAGAGAGTAGGGGCTACTCTTCGCTGCCGTGCGTGGGCTTCTCATCGCGGTGACTTCTCTTGTTGTGGAGCACGGGCTCTAGGCGTGTGGGCTTCAGTAGTTGTGGCACACAGACTCAGTAGTTGTGGCTTGCCGGCTCTAGAGCACAGGCTCAGTAGTCGTGGCACATGGGCTTAGTTGCTCCACGGCATGTGGGATCTTCCCGGACCAGGGCTCGAACCTGTGTCCCCTGCATTGGCAGGCGATTCTTGACCACTGCGTCACCAGGGAAGTCCCATAACAATCTTCTAAAAGGATTAACTGGTTCTGTTTGGGTTACAAGACACTTTAAATGGGACTAGGAGGCAGGATACCCAGTGCTCCTCTCCATTGCTGTTCTGCGAGCCTCGTCCCTCATTACTCTAGGACGTTCTTTCCCTGTGGCTTACTAGCTATCTATCACCTAGGAACTGCATTCAGCTTCATGTTATGAAAACTCAAGAACAGTGCCAATAATCCAGATGGAGTTTATTTTTCCTTACGTATCAGGATATCCAGAGTAGGTCAGCCACAAACTGGTACAGTGGCTTAAAGAAGTCATTAAAGGCCCAGGTTCCTTCTAACCCCCTGCTTTTGGCCTCTTGGCTGGTAGGTGCTGCTCCACTTCCAGCCCCACATCTGTGTTCCAGACTGAAAGAAGTAGAAGGAAACCTCAAAGAAAAGGGTAGCAGAAATCAAGAAAGTAGCGCTTTCTCAGAACTCCATGGGACATGTCCATTTCTATCTCAAACAGCAGAACTATGTCATATGGTTGTCCCTTGCTACATGGGAGGCTGGGAAATGTAGTTTTTCCCCTGGACTGAGTGTCATCAGGTTTCTGGTAATAGGATGAAGTGGAGAGGGGCTGATGGGTGGGCAGCTGGCAGAGTCAATGCACTGGCCAACGGCACCCAGACCCGAAGTACTGCTATTCTGAGGATCTGAGTGGACTGGGGGAAAGCGATAAATATATTTACTCTGAATCAAGGTCTAGATTTAAAGAAATCCTTCTGAGATAAATCCAAAATGCATGTCATAAGCCTCCTACTATGTGCATTGTCTTTTATTAATCCCTGCTAATATAGTCAGGATATATGCTTACCCCAAGATGACTAGCGAAATGTTGTCAGAATTCTTTACATTGCCTGAGTTATTGTTTGTTGACGTGCTTATAAACCTCACCAAGGACTTGTGCGTATTTCATCTAACACAAGCAATCAATTAACCCCTCCTCCTTTGTCCACCTTAAACATGGGGGCAAAGAATATAATTTAATTCTCTCTTCTCTCTTTAGAGGAAAAGAACCAAATTCATTGCCTGTGATTTTCTGACCGAATGGTTATACAAGTAAGTTTTTCACGTCTTTGAATATTCCATGACCCTAAGGGTTCAATAGTGTTAATTTGCCAGCAGAATAGCAACAATTGACTTGAATTCTTGCTTATTGTTTTCTTGTTAATCAAAACATATGGCATCGTGACCAGTCAAAATCCAAAGAGGACAGGGGAGACATTCACAGAATTCTTCTCCATTCCATTTGTGGAAGAGTGGCTGAAACTGCAGTAAGTAATCACACAAGGCTTTGAATAATTTATTCCCAACTTGAAGATTGTGTTAATGATAGTTTCCTCCAATCTATGAGAACTAATTCATGTAATCCATCCAGGACCCTGGATCAGTTGTGTATGTGGCTCTTTTCTCTGGTTATTTTTATTCTAGGCTAAGGGCATCCTATCATGCAGTGATTATTCAAGAAGCACTTCAGAAATAAAATAGAAAACTTAAAAAATTTTCTTATCCTAAGTAATTCATCTCTCCATTCTCTCTTCCTCTCCTCCTAGCCCTAAAGGTCATTATGTCTCAGGAAATACAACTAAATTTTTCTAAATATTACTTTTTAGTTATATGCATCATTTACATTTAAAATATTAGAACACGACAGGTGAAGTTAATACTCTCTTTGACCGTCATTCTAATCTGATTTTTCTCTCCTCACAGAATTAATCAGCTTGGTCTATACTGCATCCTTCCATAGTCTTAAAATTAGTTACTTAATTATATAAAATTAGATTATATCATACAAAATTAGTAATATTACTTTATGTGAACTGTTTATCATCAGTGATATAGCAATAATAATGATGACCACTAACATTTATTGAGTGCTTGTAACACGGGTCTCAGCATTTAACACTAATGTACTAACCTGATCCTCATAACAATGCTATTACCAGCCCTATTTTGCAGATGAGGACATTTATGCATTATCCTGCAACTTGCTTTTATTTGACTCAAATGCATGCTTTGGAGACCTAGCCATGTTGATTCAATTACATCTAATTCATGCCTTTGTTAGCTTTATAGCATATGTCATTTCTAGATTTGCATAATTTATTCATTCATACAATAAATGTTTATTGAGTACTACTGTGTGCCAAACATCATTCTAGGTGCTGGAGATAAAGCAGTGAACAAAGTAGCCAAAGCTCCTGTCTTAATGGAGCTTATATTCTGGTGGGGGATGGCAGACAATAAGCAAGTAAGTGCTATAGAGAAAGATAAAGCAGAGAGGGGAGAATATAGAGTATTGACGGGACTTAATTTTATATAGGGTGGTCAGGAAAGACCTCACTTGGAGGATGACTTTTTTTTTTTTTTTTTAGTATTTATTTATTTGGCTGCGCCGGTTCTTAGTTGTGGCACGGAGGATCTTTGTTGCTGTGTGCCGGATCTTTAGTTGTGGCATGCAGGATCTTTGTTGCCATGTTTGGGATCTTTAGTTGCAGCATGCAGAATTTTTGTTGCCATGTGTAGGATCTTTAGTTATGGCATACGGGATTGAGTTCCCTGACCAGGGATCGAACCTAGGCCCCCTGCATTGGGAGCGTGGAGTCTTAGCCACTGGACCACCAGGGAAGTCCCTGGAGGATGACGTTTAAGCAGTGATCCACAATTTTAAGCCATAAGTGGAAGAAAGACAACTCAATTTAGAGAAAACAATATTTAACTTATTTCTTTGAAAATATTTTCACACCAGCCCTTTGCAAGAACAATGTCAGGAAACTGAGGCACTAGGAAATTAAGTAAGTTTTGTAAAATCCCATATTAAACAGAGTAGAAAAAAATGAAATTAGACCCTTAGCCCTCAAATGTCACATCTTTTGCTTAAATCTGCCCTTCTGGGGAATGCCAAGCTGAATAGACCCTTGGCTGACTTTCTCAATTTTGAGAGTTTAAAAGAATTCAGGTATTACCAGTTTTTAAAAGTCTGAGACTACCTATACATTAGAAAGAGAACGATATTAGAAAATCTTGCTTCTTATTAAGCTTCTAAGCCTCTGCCTAATTTTGTCCACTATGAAAATGGAAAGCCTATAATTTATAGATTATAAATGATTAATAAGTGAAAGATTAGCATAGTTCTCCAGGTTGAAAATGAAACATTTTCCCGCTTACAATAACCAATGAAGGGACTTCCCTGGTGGTGCAGTGGTTAAGACTCTGCGCTCCCAATGCAGGGGGCCTGGGTTCGATCCCTGTTCTGGGAACTAGATCCCACATGCATGCTGCAACTAAGAGTTCACAAGCCACAATAAGGGAGCTCTGGAGCCACAACTAAGGAGCCCACCTGCCGCAACTAAGACCTGATGCAACCAAACAAGTAAGTAAATAAATAAATATTTTAAAAAAACAATGAAGAAGAGTCTTAAAAATAAGAGTTTCTCTAAGTAAGAGTTCTCTCAAATCTCTAGTCATTTATCATAAAAATACCTTAATTTAAAATAGTTGCTAATTTCCACTGGCAGCTCATGTAAGTATACTGCAAGGTAGCAATAGCAAGCATTTCAGTTGGACTCCACAAGAACAAAAACACAAAAGCTCTTGCTTTAACTGGCATTTGTGTTCTCTGCTTCCATTACCTTTCAAAGAGATGCCCCGAGCATGATAAAAATGTAAATGATACTAATCTAATTTGATGCAATAAATATTTATTGAACATCTACCAAATGCAATGCAAAGAGCTTGGTGCTGTGGAGAAAACAGAGATGAAAAAAATATGGCTGTGACCCTTGGAGTGAGAGAGATGTGTTTACAAGTAGCTGTAGTTTCTGTAGTGAGTGTTGTAAAACAAATGTCAATAAAGCATTAAAGGGAAATGGGGATGCACAAGACCATCTATGCCCCACTCTACCACTGGCCTGGAGCCAGTTAGGTTGGGCCAGTGGCCAAGCTGGTTGGTGCCCAGATTTGGTCTTGAAGAGGCAAGAACTCAGGTGCTATATCCTTCTCGAGAATGCTCTTGAACAGGGAGAGCAGAGAGGCAGGTAGGGCAGGAGCCAAGAGACCATCTCTAACCCACGTTTCCCCAAGCCTACTGACATCCATCACCCGGTAATTCTTTGTTGTGAGGGGCTGGCCCGTAGGATGTTTCACAGCATCTCCAGCCTTCTCCCACTCCACATGCTAGTAGCACCCGCTGTGGTCCTCACCATCAAGAATGTCTCCAGATACTGGCAAATGTGGGGAGACAGAAAAATTGCCCCTGGTTGAGAACTTCTGATTGAATCCAGAGGGAAAAGTGAGAGGAAATCTGAGGGGGAAGGGAGAAAAGCTGAGAAAGTTCACGGTGGGTACTGTCATTCTGGTTGTTCGTGTGGATGTGAAGGTATCTGCTGAGAAGGAGCCCCAGGTTCCGGAGGCTTGTGGGGGAAGGGAGGAGGCTGCAACAGCTGCTGTGGTGAAACCGATAGGGAATCAACTAGGGATGAGTAGGGATGGCCCAGCCGATGGCCTGAATTTGTGATGCATATAAACAGCCTGCTTATGAGATTATTTCCAGCAACCCTGGAAAAGAGGTGGAGAAAACAGATGGTTGGGTAAAATCAGTGTTGAAAACTGGCAAAGCTAATATAGTAAAAGGTCTAGACTAGGCCCAGAGGATTGTCTGAGAGCAAGAAATTTCCCTCTACCCTTCTAGGTCCTTCTGCACAGTATAAGGATCAAATTGACCTGAGACAGATTAACAGGAGAAAATCAAACAAAAGTTTAATAACCTGTATACATGGGAGAGGCCCAGGAGAACTGAGTAACTCACCAAAATGTCTGAAACCCTCACCTTAAATACCATCTGCAGTTAAAGACAACAGAGGATGTTAGGGGTAGGGACCTGAGACTTCAAAGGGGAGGAAGGCAATTGCCATGAAGATGGAAAAGCAAATGTTTGGTAAATAAATATTGGAGGGGCCCTGTGGAGACAGTGGGACAGAGAGTGGACTCTGATGTCTAAGTTTCCCCACCACACCCAACCCACATTCTTTGCCGATATCTCTAGTGATAACTCTATTCCAGGCACAGGCCTTCCATCTAAATTCTTTTTAGGCAGTTAGGAGGAAGGTCAAAGTTTCTTCCTGGGTCTTTTGGGCCTTGATTGTTTTCAGCTTGAGATAATCCACATGGCAAAGAGACATTTTGGGCGGCAAATTTTGTTCCCCTACAGGATCTTAAGTACATGGAAAAGCATTGTTAACTTTTCTAAGAATGATGTCTTACATTTTTCTCATAAATTACTATATTTTCTGAATTGTGTTAATGATTTAACAACCAATTTTCAGAAAGAGACAGAAACACTACATTACATGTTCACACTGGAAGTAAGAAATATAACCAAACTAGGAAGCATTAAAATGGGGATGGTAGGTCCATACAGTTTTTGAAATTTCAATGGATCTTATTTGGATCCTGATTCAAAGAAACAAACTAAAAAGAAAAACTAGGAGGCAACTGGAAATGTGAACACCTAGTAAATAATTGATGATATAAAGCATTATTGTTATTTTATTTTAGGTTTGATAATGATTTCATATTCACAATAAAATGTTATTGCTTTTTAGAGAAACATGCTGAAATATTTATGAATGAAATATGAAATCATATGATGTCAATGGATAAGGTTGGGGGAAGTTACACTGAGTGACTGACATGGAGAACAGTATAAATGAAGCTGGATGGTGAACTGGGTTCATTTTTTTTCTGCCTACTTTTTTATATCTTTGAAATTTTCTGTAATAAAACATTAAAAGGAAAAGAAACAGTAAGATGTTTCAAAGCTCCTTATGACCAGCTGATTGAATAGCAGATAGGCTGTGAGCAAGGAGGAATCTGTTGACTGGAGGTGAACTGCGGGGGCTGTGGGCTGTTCTCCGTGGGTGATGGCTGGAGTGACAGGCAGTGGGGGAGACCAAGTTTTCACATGATGCTGAGGGCCTCCAATGACATGGAAGGAAAAGGGCCCTGGGGTGTGGCGCGGAGAGTGACAGGTGTGGGCCCAAGTGAGAAGCCTCACGGTGCTGGGGACGTCTGTGTTACCCCGGTTGAGACCCAGCTCTGAACCGGCACAGCTCACCAGCCAGTCCCCTCACATCAGCCTCATTCTCCCTCTCCGCCCCGCTCCAGTGCCAAACCCAATTCTCCCCAGTGGCGATGAGGAGGATTAATATGACCAGAGCCGTGGGCTTGCCCTAAGAACACGGCTCCAGTAACCTCAGAGCTCCTGGGGAACAAGGAAATGGCTTTCTAGGTCAGGTCAGCGTAGTAAATCTTTCAGGTTTGGCAGGACATGTGCTGTCTCTGTTGCAACTACTCAACTCCATAGTTGTCCATAGACAACACGTGACAGAGGGCCGTGGCTGTGTTCCAGTACCACTCTACTTGCAATGGTAGGTGATGGGCCAGATTTGTCCGATGGGCTCTAGTTCGCTGAGCCCTCTTCTAGATGGACACCAATAACCCAAGTCATAGTCTCACATAAGGGCAAAATACAATATAAATAGAAGTGAGTGGGTGGGAAAGATGAAAGGACAGAGAAGGCTATGATGAGATCAGGAATTTGGAAAGATGAGATGTGACAGTCTTTCAGGGACAACCCGTTCTAAGATGTGACTGTCACGAAGGAAGAAGGGGGTCATGGGATCACATGGACTCGAGGCCATGGTGTTGGAGGTGTCATCAGTATGAATAATGAAGTATCTGAGAGGCTTGTGGTTGTGGGTTGAAGAAGATGACGCAAGTCAAATCCTGGAGCTGTCAAGAGAGGTGTAAGAATGTCCTGGACGTCAAAGTGGAGGTAGTGCAGTGTAGGGGTTAGGAACCTGGGCTCTGGAATCACAGCTCTGCATGCTAAACCACACTCTACTCCTTCCAGCTGTGTGGCTCAGCACAGATGACTTAAGCTCTCAGAGCCTCAGTTTTTCCTTCTGTGAAATGGTCTTTCATCTAAACAAAGCTAGTTCCTTACCTAAGAGGAATTATGGTGCCAGTTTTAAGGGAATACATTTTTTTCCCACTACTGATACATATACATATACAAATGGGTGTGTTTCAGCTATTAAAGGGAGTTATTTTTAATTTATTTGTTCATCTATTCAGCTAATATTTATTACTTGCTTAAATGTGCTCTAAAATCATGGAACAGACATATTCATAAACTGGCTGGCTGCCATTTACTGGATGCCTACTACGTGCCATGGAACCATGACACAAACATGGTCCTTGTCTTCACGAACAGAAAGTTTGTTTTTTTTTTAAATTTATTTAATTTATTTATTTGTGGCTGCGTTGGGTCTTCATTGCTGCACGCAGGCTTTCTCTAGTTGCGGCGAGCAGGGGCTACTTCGTTGCGGTGCACGGGTTTCTCATTGCGGTGGCTTCTCTTGTTGCGGAGCACAGGCTCTAGGCGTGCGGTCTTCAGTAGTTGTAGCACACGGGCTCAGTAGTTGTGGCTCGTGGCTCTAGAGCGCAGGCTCAGTAGTTGTGGCGCATGGGCTTCGTTGCTCCGCGGCACGTGTGATCTTCCCGGACCAGGGCTTGAAGCCATGTCGCCTGCATTGGCAGGCGGATTCTTTTTTGAAAAAGTATGGCTCAACATATTAAAATCTTATTTCTGGCTGATCTAAAGTCAACAAGTTTACCATTTTTTTGGTGTGTGTGTGCTACGCGGGCCTCTCACTGTTGTGGTCTCCCCCGTTGTGGAGCACAGGCTCCAGACGCACAGACTCAGCAGCCATGGCTCATGGGCTTAGCCGCTCCGCATCATGTGGGATCTCCCCAGACCGGGGCATGAACCCGCGTCCCCCGCATCGGCAGGCGGACTCCCAACCACTGCGCCACCAGGGAAGCCCGGCAGGCGGATTCTTAACCACTGCACCACCAGGGAAGCCCAACAGACAGATTTTGTATATAGTTGGATTGCCGTGTATATGGACTTACTTATGCTAGTTCAATGTTGTGCTCTTGGGGGAAGGAGAATGAGAAAGAGAGAGAGAGAAATAAATTTCTTTTAAATGCAGGCAATTCCCCCTGAATTGTACACTGGAGGTGAAGCATAAAATGGGACACATGACTCAGCTCTTTCCTTAATTGTCTTCAGTTTTATGTGACACTCACAACATGAGCAGCCCATAAGGGAACTGTTTCCTTCTGTCTTGTCTGTCTCTGTCTACCTACATGACCTACCTAACTACCCTACCTACCAACCAAGCATTTATATAGTGTTTACTCAGGTACTGTTCTGAACAATTTATAAATATTACCTAATTTAACTCCCATAACAACCCTACAAAGTAGGAACTATTATTTCCCCATTGTGTTAGTCAAGCTAGCCTAGACTAGGCTGCAGTTATAAACAATAGCAAAATACTCAATAACAGCTGATTTCTTATACAAAGACTGATACAGGTTGGACAGCCTTCTTATAAATTATAGCTATCTGGAGCACGTCATTTTTTTTTTTTTTTTGCTTTTTTTTTTTGCCGTACGCTGGCCTCTCACTGCTGTGGCCTCTCCCGTCGCGGAGCACAGGCTCCGGACGCGCAGGCTCAGCGACGGTGGCTCGCGGGCCCAGCCGCTCCGCGGCATGTGGGATCTTCCTGGACCGGGGCACGAACCCGTGTCCCCTGCAACGGCAGGCGGACTCTCAACCACTGTGCCACCAGGGAAGCCCGGTACCCTAGTTCTTAACCTTCTCACCTCTTCTCACAGAGCCTGGCCCCAAAACAACCGCAAGGGAGGCTGAGATATGTGAGGGAACACTGGATAGTCCGTGGGTTATAGCTGTGCCGGCCATAGCCGTATCTCAGAGAAAGAGCTGAGGCACAGAGTTGTAAGTTTTTTGCCCAAGGTCACAAGCTAGTAAACAGCAGGCGCAGGATTTGAACCAGGCAGCCTGGCTCCAGGGTCCGAGCTGGTAAGAGCATAATGCATTACTTCACTCTTCTGCCTCGCCTATCACCGGGTACTTAAGAGTGATCTGTATTAGGACTGGGAGAAAAACTGGCTACCTGAGACCCTTGAAAGATGCTGTGTCTTTATATGGGTAATTTAAGGTGTGTCAAGGGGAAATTTTGGCTAAATGTGAGTTTCATCTTATGTGCTCATTTTAGAGTCAGCTCCTGTGTCAGATGCCACTCCTTTGTATATTATGCGTACTAGCGTTTATTGCCTCAAATAATCTTATCTACCAGCCTGGGGAGCCATCCAAAATAAGAGCTTAGGTTTATTTTAATGTTCTTGGTAAGACAAGTTCTACCAGATCCAGCTGTCTTTGATGCTCGATGTCATCATATTATCAGATCACAGCGGGTAGGTTGCTATCATTTGCCATGGGCAGCTGCCGATTGCTTATCACATAACTGATGGGTCCTTCTCCCACAGGTCCCCATAATTTCACATGCTCTTCACTCTGCCCATCCCTTCTCAGCTACCCATTTCTTTTCCATGACTCTTTTTTTAAGAAATGCATTTATATGTAGCTATTTTATATAAACATGGATAACCCTTAAAAATTCCATTAGGTTTATAAAAATAATTAAGATTTATCATATATAAAATATACATATTTGTTAAATAAACTACACAGTGAAAAGGAAAGTTTTTAAATCAAGGATCATCATAGAATTAAATAACTCTAGCTCTAAGGTCTTTCAAAAGGATGTTTCACTCCAAATGGCAGGAACATGGCTTTTATTTTCTCCTCTATACTATTTTGTAGCTTTCATATTGTCTATAGAGTTACTTTAAATATTAAAAACAATTGCAAAATGAAAGGATATTTATTCTATTTCCTTTTATTCCATTTTCTTGCTTTCTGTATTAGACACTTATGTTTTTTCCAGCCCTGCACTGATTTCCCCCTTCTTCTGGTTACAGTACACCCTATGTTTTTGGAAGGATCACCCCTCTCCCATTTTCCGTTCAAGCAGAAAGTGAGCTGATTCCACCTCTGGCTCTGGGCTGAGTATGTGACCCAGGCCTGGCCAATCAGAGCAGTGAATCCCTCTACCACCGTGCTTGCTCCCAAGTTGGTTAAATCAGAGATAACCCCA